ATGAGAAGAGGAAAAAAATGGAAACAAGGTCTTTGCAAATAGGGAAGGGTGGAGGGGGTGAAGGGAGGGCAAGGGAAGGGGGAAAAAAGAACCAAGAGACTCATGTAATGGTACAAGATCCCAATGATGAATGTAACTGTATTTTATACCAAAAATGTACCAATAAACTTAATGAGGGGAAAAAAAAAAGTTTTGGGCCAGGGATTTTAGCTCAGTGGTTCTGCTGCCTGCCTCACAAGTGCAAGATCCTGAGTTCGATCCCTGGTACCGGGGAAAAAAAAGTTCTTATCTAAACAGTATCATATTGCATAAATTCTTTTGTCATTGATTTTACTTTTGGCATTATCGATATAGAAGCATGTTGATTTAGGTCAATTATATTAATGGCTTTACACTAACCTACTATACTAATACACTACAATTTATCCATTCCCCTACTTCGGGCATTTTAGGTTGTTTTCAGTTTTTCACAATTATAAACAAGGGCATAATAAACATCTTTGTGGAAAAAAAAAAAAAAAAGAATTCCTAGCTGGCTGGTCAATGGGATGTGCCTTTTCACAAGAAAATATGAGTGGATTTCAAGCTGCCCAAGGACATCTAGTGGGCACAACCACATGCTTAATATGCTCTGATCAGGAACAATTCTTGCCTGGCAACAGTCACCAGAGGAGCTGGGGGCAGAAAGCAATGATGATGATTCTTCATGGTACCCCCGTGAGTACGGTAGCTCTCCCCCATTCACAGTTTCCATAATCTGTGATCAAATGCAACCCCAAAACACTAGCATTTGTCATGGCTCTTTCAAAAGAGAGAGACTCCATTCATGTAACTGTTATTTATTATAATATATTGCTATAATTGTTCTATTTTGTTATTAATTACTGTTGTTAATCTCTTGCTGTGCCTAATTTGCAAAAGAACCTTTATCATAGGTATGCATGTTTGGGAAAAAAGTATATATAGGGTTCGGTATTATCCATGGTTTCAGGCATCCACTGGGGGTCTTAGAACAAATCCTCCACATATTAGGTGGGATTTTTGTAATCAATAACCAGAACCTATGGAGCACTTTCTGTGTATCAGGTACTGTGCTAGACTCTTCATATCATTGCATTTCTCTCCACAGCAGCTCTAGGTGGTGGAAATTACTATTATGACCATTTTGCAGATGCAAAAACTGAAGCTACAAAAAGCTTGTGCTTCAGAGTCTCAGAAGAAGGAGGTAGCAGATATGGGACCTGGGAATTCCAGAGCTCAGGTAACATTCATCACCTGGCCTCCGGTACTGTTCCCCTTTGCCCTGCAGGATATGTGGCTTTGGGCTCATTAAGAGAAGCTTGCTCAAAAGGAATGACCCTAGTCAGACCCTTCCCCTCCATGACCCTCAGTCTCTCCATCTGATCAATGGTTGCTTGGTTCTAAAAATCTTCCAAGGGCTATAGTTGTGGGATCAGGAAGAAATGTGGTTCTGGAAAAATCACAGGGATGTGTGGCCAAATGATGACGGAGTGGAGACAGGAAGCTCCTCTGAGAACATCCAGGGCATTGTTCTGGCCAGGCCAGTGCTGGTCTGGATGAGCGGGTTCAGGGACCAGCCCTAGCAGGGAAACTGAGTCTTCTCACAACTGGGTTGGCTCAGGCATGGAGGGGATTGGGAGAAAGCCGTGGGGTGCTGAGCTGACTGGCCAGCCCAGACCCTGTGACCCACCAGGATCTGAAGGTCCAACAGGATGTGAACAGAAAGATCCCTGGGAGCTGGCAGAAGGCCTCACAGTGAGAGGGCAGTAGGTCATGAAGGCGGGAGACACCCTTTAATGCAAAACTTCTGGATACAACACTGGGGACACAGCCCAGAAAGAGAGAATTCTGGCTCAGCAGACAAACCCAGGGGCCAGAAACCCAGAGCCAAAGCTGCCAGAGCCTTTCCTGGCTCATCTTTCAGGCTGAACCATACATAACCACAAACTTAGCCAAGCAACCAGGAGAAAAGGGCTCCTCTTTAAGTGCTGAGACCAGCCCCATACACTTCCATGCCCCACCTGCTTCCCTCAGTGGCCTTTCATTATATGGCCCCTGTCAGCTACCCCCAGTTCCCTGGGCCTCAGCCACACTAAACTCCCCACTCAAACCCGCTCCTCTGTGCTCCTGTGTGTACACTTGCTCTCAACGTGGAATGTCCTTCTTCTCCCCAAGTGTGACACTCCCCCTTCTGGGTCCTCCAAAGTCATGGTTGTCCCCCACTTGAGCTGCATCACACTGCAGTGTAACTAACCATGTCCTGCTCTAAGCCACAAGCTCCGTGTGGGCAGAGATCATGCCAGCTTCCTTCCTCAGTCGCAGTGCAAGTCTAAGAGGACGAATTCTCAAGGCAGGCAGTCCTAGGATTAAGGTCTGCTCATGCTCGGTGTAACCCTGGACAAGGCACTGTTTATGAGCCTCAGTTTCTACAGGTATGAAACACAGATCATCATAATCATCCTCCCAGAGAGGCTGTGAAAGATGATGTCAGAGAGACCACTATATAAACTCTCAAGTGCTACGCAAACTGCACAGACTTCAGAGCCCAATAGATCCACTACATTCCTGGACAAATTGTGTCATCTTTACTTGAGGAAGGCCATCTCCTTACCCACAAGGTGGCTGGGAGGTATCAACTAGACGATGTGTGCAAAGTGCTTGTCTCAAACAGAAAGAGCTCAATAAGCAGCAGCAGAGTGGACTTTCCTGGGGTGTTCTTACCTGCTCTCAGATTCTTGTGTTGACTACCACCATTTACTTGTAAATATATCTGCCCAACTAGGCTGTCTAGATCTCTACACTATAGACATTCCCTGGTGATGTCCTTCACAGAGCCCAGCACATGCAAAATAGGAGGCAGAGCTAGAGGAAATATCCTGAAGGAGTGCTCTCCACCCCACACTGCCCTTCAGAATCTCATGGGCTGGGCATGACACATGCAGATCCCTGTGTCCCTACTCAGACTTCCTTACTCAAATTTTTGGTTTGGGATCTATACCTTTCCAAGCTTCCCCCGTGATTCCAAGATTCACCAAGACCGGAATCCACTGGACTGGAGGGTCCATGAGGACCCTTTCATCTTTAAAAGCACTGACCTTCTCTGCCTAGACCCTGGTACCTGCTGACACAGGGTGGCTTCCTGCCTCACATGGCACATCCTTCCACCCAGCCTCTCAGAGGACCACCACAGTGATGCTTCTACAAGACCTACCACCTTCCTCCCCTGCTGCCCCAGAATGAAGTCCAAATCCTCCACCTGGTAGCCCCAGAGCCCTGTTTCTCACCGCTTTTCCCCTTAAGCCTTGTGCCAGGATCACTGAAGGGCCCACAGTTCCCTAAAAGTCAGGATGGCTTCTGCTTTCCTTGATATACTCTGATTCAGCTTCCAGGCTGGGTTCCAATGCTGCCTTCCTCTAGGAAATCTTCCCAATCTCTATCCTTTGCCCCACTCCTTCCCATATCCCACGGGTTCCTCATCACAGTTTGATCACTGACTTCCCTTCTAGTCTGTGGCCCTCTCAAGAGCAGTGACCATGCTTTGCTTATCTCTGTGAAGTAAGTGAATAAATGTACAGGTTCTCACCCAGGCCTTGACCTTGAGCTACGTGGGCCTCTATTTTACTACTTCTAAAATGAGGGTCTGCCTTAGAACAAAGGCTTTGAAGGCTAACTGAAGTGGCTCAGAGCTGAGAAAGAAGTGAGGCTCCTACCCTCTCTGTGGTTTCACCAAGCAGCTCTGTCTACTTTCACCTGCATTATGGATAAGACTAAACACAGGGTTCTAGTGCTCACAAAACAAAGCCCCCAAGCCACTGGACTGGTACGTCTAAGCACTCCTCTGGATATTTAGTCCAATGCCTGAACAACCAGAGATCCAGTTCCAAAGCGGGGGCCCTGCCAGTTGACCAAGGTCTCTTGCCAGCCTCCTATCCCTGAGCCCCACCAGGGATTCACTCCCAAAAGGCAGGAGTAGAAAGGAGGAAGAAGAAAAGTCAGTGAGACGACAGGAAGCAGAAATCTTCCCTGGAACCTCAAAGCTTAGGTAAAGGAAATTCTCCAGTCTGAAGAAGAGAAGGCCATGCAGCCAGTGTGGGGAGGGGGCCTGCAAGGGGATCTTTGGAGTGGCCGTGCACATGGAACAAACTGGCAGCTGCTCAATTGACTGATTCGAGGGCTCGGTGGGAGACTGAGCAGGCTGGGTAGAGATGGTCTGCCTCAGAGGGACATGGTGCCCGCTCAGTAACAAGGACTGCTGCTGGAAACCCATCCCTGGCAGGAGAGCTCTGACCCACCAGGCCCAGCATGGCTCCATTTACCTTCTCACCCCGGTTGGAGAGCGGCCCATCCATGTCGGCTTTGAGGTGGACGGGGGGCGCGGTGTAAGGCAGTCGGCAGTGCACCTGCCCGCACTGTACCTGACCTGTGGATGAGAGGATGCCTTGGAGCCCATCCCCCATGCTCCCCACAGGATCCCACCTGCCCCACGCTCTGGAAGCTGGAGCCCACCTTGCCACTTACCACCTGGGTGGCCCCGGGCAAGACTTTAATAGGTTGGCCTCCGTGCTGTATGTGTACGGCTCTAAAGAGGGCTGGGCTAACTGCCCAGCTCACCGACAAATACTCTTACATGAATAGGTAGTGAACACCTCTTGCAAGCAAGTCTATACCCCATTTATCAGAGCCCCACCAGAGATGATTTATCGAAAACCTCCACGAGGACTCTGCTCTCACGGGTCACCACCCTAGTTACAACTGCAGCTGAATACCACCAGCCACCCCTCTCCTCCTAGTCCTCCCTTTCACCTTTATTTTTCTTCTTTAGACCTAATTACCTCACTTACTGTGTATTTTTATTGTTTATTTGACATTAATCTAGTTTTACTAACTCCACGAAGGCAGGAATTTTTATTTGTTTTTTAGATTGCTGTAGATTTCCAGTACTAAAATGAGACATGGAATCTATCAGGAACTCTTTAAATATTTGTTGTATGAAGTTTCATACCCTATTCCAATATCTAAAGCTGTTGGGAAAAATACACCTTTATGTCTGATCCAAATCTCTCATGCTTCAGCCTGTTTACCACTACGATGGAGAAGCCTTTGCCTGTCTCTTCTCCAGACTTCCTCTTTGGTCACAGAAAGGGCTCTGTACAGAGACTCACAATTGATACATAATTTGGGACAAGTCACGGTGCCCTTGTGAGCCACAGTTCCCTTATCCATAGAATAAACCAATTGTATTAAATTGAAGATTTCTAACTCTCTGGGTTTTAAAGGAATCCATAAACAGGCTCAAATTACTCAAACAGCTATGCATCTGTGCAATTTTCTGGGGCCCAGTTCCAAAGCTTTCATTAGATTCTAAGTTCTAAGGCTTTAAGAAACTCAGGATCCCATAACTTTAGTTAACTGCAAAGCAAAAATTCATTTTTCTGGGGTCTGGTTCTAGCACTTTCATCAGCATACAGCTCTAATGCTTCAGAACATTCAAGATTCCAGGATTTTAGTTAACTGTAAGCAAACTGCTAGGGTGACCTTCAGTCATGTGGAAAGACGTGGCAGGTCCAGACCTCTCAAGCATCTTCTACCTCAAGATGGGCTCCACCTCCAGGGGAAGAGGGAAGGGTCCTCCAGCCCCTTTACTAGGCATCAAAGAGAGATCCAGACTTCAGCAATGGAAATGTGTGGACAGAGTCCTGGCTGCACTTCAATGGGGCCACCTAGATCCATTACAAATTCCACACCAAGCCTTAGCTGGTAGCTTAGACCCCTGGTACCTAGAGCACTCCTGGTCCTCAGCATCATTAACAAATATGTAATGGGTTCTATGCAATGCTGAACCTAAGCCACTATTTAGAAATGAGAAGGGAAAAGTGTCCCTCCTGCCAGGCAGATGGTTCAGAAATGGAACATATCGAGAGGCATGGTTCCATCTGGCAGCCTGGTGCTGCAGACAGGACTGTGCACTCCTAGCTCTTCCAGTCAACCCCACCGCCATCACAAGAGTAGCTAATACTTATCTGACACTAAATGTTGAAGACTTTACATCAATTACCTCATTTGATGCTCACAACACTGCTTTGAAATAGGTACTCTTATTGGCCTCATTTTCTAACAGATGAGGGAACTGATATTTAAGGAAGCTAAGAAACTTGCCCAATGACACCCAGCTAGTAAATGGCAGGGTGGGATTTGAAGTTGGGCGGTCTGACACCAAACCCCACATTTGATCAGTAAAAGGTACTGGCTCGCACTAACAATGGGCCCTTGGTTTCCTCATCTATTTAAACGGATAGTGATCTGTGATGTTTAGAGAGCACAAGCAATATAGTGTTCCGTAGGCAACAGCTCTCTCTGACCTCCCTTCTTTGCCTCTTTTAGTTGGAGCCAGAGAAGGGAGGGTGTGTGTGTGTGTATGTGACTTCTGGTTGTTTGTTTGTTTTTGTCATCTCCAGCTCTGGGGAAACAAACCCAAAGGGAAAGAAAATCTGTGATAAGCACCTGCTCAGGAGCAGAGTCACTCTGACTGAACACTTACTCTCTCACTTCTCCAGGTTCCTGTTCCAAGGTCTCTTCACCCGGACTGGCCCCACATTCCCCTCCTTGTGCTCACTGCCCATCCACAACAGCCCTCCCACATTTACGAGTTTATTGTCCACCCATCTCCTCGCTGGAAGGTGAGTCCTGAGGAGCACAGCAGCTGGTCTATTGGGTTCACTGTCGTGTCCCTGTGCTAAAATCACAGGGGATACTCAGCATTTTTACAGGGTGCACGAATCCATCCTCACCCTCTGAGAGGCATTATTAACATCCTGGTTTATAGTTGAGAAATCGAGGTTCAAGGAGGTGAGGTGATCTGCCCAAGGCCTCACGGCCCTGGCTGGTCCTGCCACACTGGCCTGTTCCCCCGCACGCACACAGCCAGGAAGCTCTCTGGGCCCACGTTTGTCCACGTTCAGTTTCCTCCAGTCCACACGCCTCACTAACTCCTACTGACTTTTCCCCCTCCGAGGCAGCCTCCCCTCTAGCATCGCCACATACTTCCAGGAGCTTTCCCTCAGAGACCACTCCGACCGACCATCACACACTCTGGCTACCAGTCCATGCTGTCTCGTCCACCAGAACGCAGGCTCTACACGGCAAGAGCCTTGCTCATCTTTGTCTTTCCCTAGTCCCTCGGCCCTGGCACAGAGTGGGTATGAGAAAAACATTTTGGGAATGGCCAAATTGCTTGCTTCTACCAAGGTTGCAGCCCCATTGAGGCAGCACGGGGAATTTACTCCTTCCCTGCAACTCCTAGGTCCTGGTGATTTCGGGGCCCACATCTTCACCCAGGATGCTCCGCTAGGCCTCCCCACACCTTGGCGCCCACACGCGCCCCTCAGCGTCCCCTTCCCCGCAGGCCCCGCGGTCCCCGTGTAGCGGTCACTTACTCTCAATGTAGCCGTGCAGGGTGACCATGCGCGCCCTCTCGGGGCTGCTGAACGGGGAGTAGTGGATGTCGTCGGACAAGGCGGAGGGGAGGCGGGTCGGGGGCGCCCCTGAGGGCGGCACTGGGTGCTGCGGTGTGTGCTTTTTATGACGCGCCCGGCAGTTTTGAAACCACACCTGGAACAACAGCCTCAGCAGCCTCAGCCTCCCGGAAAAGGGTCACTTCTGCGCCCGGGGGGCCCCAGGCGGGGCTGCTTCGTCGCCTCCTGAGGACGGGTGGCCACGTGCACCCCCGACCCTCTGCACCTCGACTAGTTCCAGGGCTCCCCCAGGCCCCGCCCCAGACCTGAAGGCCCCACCCACCCGGGCCCCACCTGGATGACCCTCCGGCTCAGGCCCGTCATGTCCGCCAGCTTCTGCAGCGTCTGTGCGTCGGGGTTGTTGTCCTGCGCGAACTGCGCCTGCATAACCTGCGGGGCGCCGCAGGGCGATGAGGCAGGGGCGCGCGGAGGTCTCCGAGACGCCGGCCCAATCAGAGGCTCTGGACCCGAGGCCACGCCTCAGGCAGCTACAGCCCCCCCCCCCCGCCGCGTGGGTCCAGGCCGAGGGGGTGGGGCCAGAGGGCCGCTCGGCCCCGCCCACGCCCCCTCCGCTCTGGGCTCGCCTGGTACCTGCAACTGCTCGGCTGTGAAGGACGTCCGCGCGCGCTTGGCCGGCTTGGGCTGACTGTCCTGTTCCGAGGGCACTGCCCCCTCCAAAGTGAGGCCGTTCCCTGGGGGCGACAGAAGCAGCTGACCACGCGTCCCCATCTCTTCTAGTGGCAGCCTGGAAAGGACGGGGGTGGGGGGAGCTTGTCCCTGGAAGGGTCAGGAGCGGAGTGGGCCGGGAGTGGGGATCCCAGGGTCCCAGTCCCTGAGCTCAGTCTCTGGGGAAAGGACTTGTGTTTCTGGGCGTCCATTCGATACTGTTCTCTATGTGTCACAGCCCCTAGGAGAGGTGGCATTATCCCCATTTTACATGAAAGGAAACAGGCTCAGAGAGAAGAAAATCCCTGCCTGGAAACTTCCAGCTAGGGTCTGAAAGCTGGCTGATCCTAATGCTCCAAACTGGGCTCCCTCCTGATTAAACTGGGGGAAACCAAAGGCTGGTGGAGGTAAGAAGAAAGCAGACCACAGAACTGTAACTGAAATTTTATAAAAACAAATGGAAGAAAGATGGAAGGATATACACCAAGCTGCTGGCACTGGTTTACCTCCGAGGAGTGCAATCATAGAGACCCTTTACTTTCACTATTTCGCCATTGAGGTCTTCGAGACAATTAAAATGTCACCTTACTTCTCTAAAATTTAATTTTTTTTTTTTTGGTACCGGGGATCGAACTCAGGACCTTCTGCTTTTGAGGCAGGCGGTGGAACCACCACTGAGCTAAATCCCCAGCCCTTTAAGGTTTAATTTTAAGATGTGTATTTTAGATATTCTCTTTCCAATTATGTTACTTTTACTATCATAATTGTCAACCACTAAATACCCATTTTATTTTTAACACTTCATTTTTTCTGACTACAAAATTAATACCTGGTCTTTATTAAAAGTCTAGAAAATTCCAATAAACACAAAAAAGGTGGAAAATCACCAGTAATTCCACCACTTAGAGATAACCACTGCTAACAATTTACTGTAATTTTTAAATTAGGACAAAAGCTATGTTGCAGGAATAAACACTCCAACGTACATAGATTTTTAAAAATCTGGAAAGATAAACACTAAAATGAGAGAGCAGAGCATTTAGAGTGATCTTGATTTTGTTTTCTTTTTACTTTACCATCTTTTCTAATTTTTCTATGATGAACATGTATCGTGTGTGCATGTGTGTGTGATTTTTAACAAACAAAACAGTAGCCCACACTGAGAGTTGATGAGTAAGGGAGATCTGAGGCCCCAAGTCTTCAACTTCTCATGCTCCCTGCACCACAAGAACCGGGTGTAATGGACAAGGCCATGACTAAAGGTGGTCCTCATCGATCCAGGTGTGCAAGGAGCCTGAGGTTATTGAAGATCATGGTGCTAAAGAAACTGACTCCCCAATTTCCATCTGCTGCCTTGCCTATACCACACTACAGATAACTGCCTAGCACCCCAAGTTCACATGCTCCCCACTTAGCCCTGATCCTAGCAGGAGAAGGTGACAGTCTTGGTTTGCCATGGCCAGGAACACTCTGGTGGTCCCTGATTGGTCCTTGGGCCAGGGCCTAGAAATTGAGCAAGGGTGGTCCATAACCTCCCCCAGAGGAACTGGGTGGGTGGTGAGGCAGAAATTTTGTGACAGTAATATCCCATAGCAAAGCAGACAAGGATTACTGTGCCTGTTTTTTTAGATAGAAAAATGAAATTCCTGGAGACAGCCCTATTTCAGCACCTTTCTGGCTTTATGAAGTCTGATTAGAGGGTCCTGGAGCCTGGGGGTGAGGTGGTACAGCATGCTATATTGTGCTATGCTGTGGAGTAAACAGCCTGGGCTTTAGCATCAGCCAGACCTATGAGCACATAACCTGTGGCAAGTTACATACTGCAGATAACCTCTGCCTTTTTCCTTACCTATAAAATGAGGATACAGCACCAATTTCCTAGATAAAGGTTATCTAAAATAATCCATGTTATAGGGAAAATAAGTGTCCACAGAATCTGAATCTGACAGGTGAGTTATGGAAAGGGTCCTTGCCTCTGCCCAAAGCCCAGCCTCTATTCCCTTCTCCAGCCCTCACTGCACCTGTGACTCAGCCCTCCAGATCCCTGGAAGAACTGGAGTCTGTCTCTGGGCCTGTATGTCTTAGAAAATCACAGTTATTAGAGCCAGAGGAAATTTAGGGATCAGATGATGCGATTGAGGCCCTGAGAGAAAAGGAAACTTCATATGTTAGCAGAGTATGCCAAAGCTGAGTCTCTAGACTTAGGGACTGGGTTCTTTGCCTTTATAGCCAATGGCGCTGGTCCAGGATGAAACTCCCACTCTCAAGCCTCTGGTTTAGTGTTGCCAGGATGGGAGTTGGAAGAACAGAGAATACAGCAACTCCAGGCCTGGCCCAGGCAGCTGGAAGGGATGAGCCCAGGCCCATGAGAGCTTTCCAAAGGTGGAGAAGGCTGACTCATTGAGAACCATCTGTCTCTAGGTATCATGGAGTACCTCCAGCCTTTACAATACATCGGCTCCTCTGTCTTTGAGAATATGTCCTGTCATTAGCCCCATTTTACAGACAGGTTAACACAGTTGCGGGGATTGGCAGCATTTCCTCCGGCTCTCATGCAAATGGTGGAGACAGAGCGCATGCTCCGTGGCACAGCCCCACCTTCACAGTGCCTCCAGGTGCTCTAGGGAATGCCCAGTTTGCAAAGCAGTGTTGGTGGTATCTGCGGTGCTGGGTTTGGGTGGAAAAGGGCTCAGGACAGAGGTGCCTGACAGGGCTGGTTGGTTACCGTTCTCAGCGGCTCTCTTGAGGTTCTCGATCATGGTGTCGTAGTGGATGCGGCACAGCACCTTCTCCTCCACCAAGCCAAACTCTTCACCGGTGGACAGCTGGCGCTTGCACGAGAAGCAGGCAAAGCAGGCGAGGTGATAGGCATTGCCGCGTGCCCGCCGCACCCAGTCACTGGCGTAGATCTGCCGACCGCACCGGGCACACTTGGTCCCAAATCGACTGCGGGACAAGGGAGCAGGGGCAGGTTGGTAAGCCTCAGGCCAGCCATCTCTTCCCATCTCAACCCCACCCAGTGGCTTGCCGCACCCAGGTTTCTGGCCTCGGTGCATTTGCTCACTCATTAACCTTTTCTTGGATCCACTACCCTTCTACAGACAAGTCCCACCTACAAGGTGAGCTGGTAGGTGCTTCTATTTTCTTCTTGGTACTTTTATGACTTTTCCAAATTTTCTATGATGATCACTTACAGTTATAATGAATGTGATCATTAAAATATATCACAGCTGTTAGCAAAACGTAGTAATATTAATAGGCAAGTATTTGAGCACCACATGGCCAACAAGATTCTCTGTATTTTACATTGATTATCCCAATTAATCCTCATTTTACAGACGAGGAAAGTAGGAGTCAGGAACATAAAATAAGTTACCCTAAGTCACACAGCTCACAATGATAGGAATCCCAGCCAGGCTGACTGCAGAGATGAATAAACTATAGCCCTAACTGTACCAAAGCTCAGAGTTCCTTGAAAGGCAGAGACGTATTTACTGGCCCTGTGACCGTGGGAAAATTGTTTGACTCCTTTTAGTCCTTATTTTCCTTGCCCAGAGCTGAACTAGTCAACAGCAATGACTCCAAGTATTTGTTTAGTGCTTTACAGTCTATAAGATCCCACTAGTCCCAGACTCTGAAGAAGCCTTTGACATCCTAATAGTAAATGTTTAAAAAAAAAAAAAAAAAGACAACAATAAAAGGCCCAAATCAAATGTTTCCTTAGCCCCTCAGGCCTTCCTTGATTCTGCTATTTCCCTTCTCCCTCCCTGCTTTGTGATGGGCTATTTTGTTAGCACCCCTCCAGAACGCTGCAGTCAGGCCCTGGCACCAGGGAAGGCTTGCTCAACCCTCTCAGCCTTGGTTTCCTCTGCTGTGCCATCACTGGCACTAAATCACACACTCCTCCCTCTTCAGAACTCCACATCCAACCCTCAGGGGCTTAGGGCTCTGGTTCCTAATGTCTCTGAGATTCATCTCCTCCTCTCCATCTCCACTGCCACTCTCCCTCTTAGACCACGTTCCCATCAGGCAGCCCTCTCTGCCAGTATCCCTAGTTTTCAGTCTCGCCCTGCCAACTCATCCTCTACACTGCAGCCACAGCAGTTCCCAGCATGCATGTTGGAATCCTGTGTACACCCTACCTACACCCACCTTTGGTGGCTCCACTCTCCCCTCAAGATCTCATCCACGTCACTTAAGGCTTAGAAAACTCAGCAGACTGCATCCTCTTCGGGCCCTCCTCCTTCCTGACCTTCAAAATCTCTCCCACCCCCATATCCAAGCATGAGTCCTGTCAGCCACAATGGAAGGTCAGTCCCAGGTCTGCTTGGCCCACTCTGAAGCACTTTGCCACCTCCAGGCCTTTAGTCAGACTAGTCCTTTCCCGGACATGTCTTAGCGTCGGTCACTTCGGTTTGTCAATGTCTAGCTCTCAGGTGGTTCATCCCAAGCATTCCTCGGGGGAGAGAGCAGATCAAGATCTGCCACTCTGTCTCCAGGAATGACACCCTTCCACTCCGAGGAGCATTAGGAAGCGTCTGTGAGTGGCCCGAAGAAACAGCGCGGCAAAACCGCTCTGGTTACAGCCTGCCTTCCTTGGTAAATTCAAGCAATTGACGGTTGATAAAAATGTTACGTTGTACTGAGTACGGGATAGCAGCGGCCTCCGGCTACCAGCAAGCGCCCAGGGAGAGCAAGGGTGCTCATCCGACACCGTCTTCCGGATGGGTTCGCTCAAGCCTCCGGACCGGGAAACTGCCTCTCCAGGGAGAGGCCAGCACGGCCTATGGGCTTTGTTCCTAATTCTGCAGCAAAGGGCCGAAGGATCAAACCACTTTGCCCATTCCAGCGGGATGAGGAGCACTTTCTGGCCTCGGAAGGAAAGCTGGCTTTCCACCATGTGTGCTTAGGAAGGATGGAGTGCCCACCCATGCGCAGAGCCCTTACTACGGATGGTGGTGAGGGGGGTCCTAGGCACAACGCCTTCTTTGCACACCCTGGCTTTTGTCGAAACCGCGTGAAGTTGCGACCCTGAAACCGATTTTTCACACGTGGCATTGGTGGTTCAGATACTGCAAGTGACTTAACTTCAGACCGCACAGAGTGGGCCCAGGGTTGAGTCTCTCACCGAGGCACGTAACAGATCTAGAACCTGCCGAGCAGCCAGTCTGGGTATGGGACGACCTAGGACCCCAGGAGAACGAAAAAGAAGGGGACCTGGTCTGGCCGCTGGGTATTACGCGGGCGTGGGTCGTGGTTTCTGAAAACTCTCGCGCGCAGGGCCGGGGCGCAGGCCCCAGAAGGTGGGAAGTGCATCCTCAGAAGACAGAAAAGCCAGAGGGGGGAGGGTCCCAGCCTTCAGGGGCAGGGAGGGAACAAGCGGCTGAGCCCCCGCCTGTGACCTCTGTGCGCTGCGCCAGAATGTGCGGGTCCGAGCCTCGCCAAGGCTGGGTGGGGGGATTCCTCCTCCGCCAACACTGAGGCTCCCCTCGCACCCCTGGTCTTCCTTCCCTGCGAGTCCCCGACGTCCGAGTCCGCACTGCGCCCTCACAGGTAAACCACAGAGCCCCCAACCTCTTGCTCCTAAGTGGACACTGCCAAGTGACCTATCAGCAACTTTCTCGCCTTCCGCGGATCACCCCAGAGGTCAGGAGCTTTCCCCGCCCTAGGATCTCGGAATTTGCTGTGACTCGGCCCGGTCCTGTCAACGAAATCGTCCTTGGAATGGGGATAGGGGTGTCATTATGTATGATTGGATGATCTAGGGCCGCTCCCGCAAAGTGTCCCCCACCCAGGACAAGGGTCTACTACAAGAACAAAAGGTAGGAGGAGGCTTACGATTGAGGCTCTGACAAACCGACAGACTCCTTCCTAGGCGGGCTTGGAGACTCGAGCCGCCCTAATGCGGAAGCAGCGAAATGGGCGGCCCAGACAACGAAACTTCAAGAAAGGGGTGTTCAGGAGCTGAGAACCGAGCGCCAAAAGGATTAGGGGCAGTTCCTATGGCAGCCCAGGCTTACTGTGAGGTCTGAACCTCGAGCGCTCTCCCCTGGGTCCCGGTGCGCCGGAGGTAAAGACCAGAAGGACTGAGGCTCTTTGGAGACGGAGAGGTGTCCAACCGCGGCGGCGCATCCTCACCGTCGCAGAAAGGAGTAGCGCGCGCCTCGCGCACCGCCAAGCCCTCTCTCCTCGATCTGGACGCTCTTGGCTGTGCAGCGGAAGCTGTGCGCCCTTGCCCGGGTCGGCTTGGAAACCTAGCAAAGGCTCAGTAAATATTTGTCGGATGAATGCGCCCATCGGAGTTTCGCTACGACCCCCCCTTCCCTCCTTAAAAAACCTACACCTTTCTTGGATGAGGAAGGAAACCGAAGCTCAGAGTGGGAGCTCCAGTGTTAGGAAGCTGGTGGATGAGCCGAGGCGCTGAAACTCAAACTGGAGTTCGCTCGTTTGGGGCTGCAGATGCTCATTGGACGGATGGCCTTAGAGAAATTCTAAGAAGCGAACAAGGAGGGCTGGAGGTGGAGCTTTGCTTATTCCCTGTGTTCCTTCCCTACTAAGCAAACCCTTAGGGGAAGAAGCCAGAAATACCAGAACCGGCAATGAAGAGGTTAAAGCGGCCAGCGCCCCGGAGGTCTCGGCCGGAGGCCCCTCCCCTTCATCTCCCCTCGGCTTTCCCCTAACATCTGTCCCCCAACAGCTGGAGGCTGCTGGGTCCGCTCTCCACCACCGCGGTGGGGGGCCCGCTCTCAGGCTCCCGACCTCCCCCTGGGTCCTCACTTTCAGGGAGGGGGTGGGGTTCTCCCTCTGGAGTTCAAGAATAGCGCTTGGGCTCAAGGTGGAAGGCTAGAGAAGGCTGGGGCCCTGCCTTCAGTCCAGTGGACCAAGCAGGGAACTGGAACTTCAGCCAGTCACCTCAGCACTCTAGTCACCCTACCCCTACGAACACAAGGAGGGGGACAGTTAACCCTTTATTCCCCAGTGCCACTGCAGAAGGGAAGAGGGACTCAGATTATCTGACCTTGGCGAAGTTGCTCCTCCAGGACTCCCAGGGCCACCGGGGGAGACAGCTACACCTAAGCTCTCTATGTGAAGCACTCTCTACTTGAAGGCATGTGAACGGGGTTGGGACTCTTGGGGCCAACAGAGAGGGACCTTTGCCATTCCACAGGCTCCACAATGCACAAAGAGGTGGCTGACAAATCTTCCTTGCACAAGAAGAGTATGAGGATGTCTTGGTGCAAGGATGGTGGAGTTAGGTGTCCATGGAGTTTATCTAGGCTACTACCACTAATTAGCTGCATGATCTCACCCTGCAGCCCTCAGTTTCCTCTCAGATTATGAGATACCCTTTTCACAAGGGGAACGTGAGGATTAAATGAGACAAAGCAGTAAAGAATTAGCAAGGTTCCTGGCATAGAGGACTCCATATATTCAGGTGATAGGTGGCCTCACTCTTGCCCTGGCCCTCTTCCATGCTCTTGCTCACTCTGTGACCTGATCACGTTACTTTCCACTTTCCCAGGACATAGGTCTCCCCAACTGTGCAACAGGCATGATGCCTCAGGAGGCTGAGCTGGCCACGCCCTATTTGTGCAGCAGGAGCTGCAGGTAGGAGGGCAAGAGGGGGCTAGGGAAAGATGTTCCGGATTGTGGCTGCTATAGGCAGTGAAAATATGCACGGCCCCAAAAGGAACACTATTTCTATCCCAGAGTTTTCTTCACTTTGTGTGTGTGTGTGTATGTGGAAGATCTTAACAGAAAAGTGAAGAAATTAAAAACCCTATTATATTTCCCTGTTGGTAATTTTTTTTTCCTGCAAGGATTCACAGACAGCAAAGGGAGGAGGTAGGTGGGAATCAGGTTGAGCCCACCGGGCTTGCAAGGTCCTTTTTAAACAGTGAATTGGAGAAACTGAGGCAGAGAGGTCCAGAGGCCTGGCCAAGGACACAGAGCCAGTGAAAAATCCCCCTACACACACACACACACACACACACACACACACAATGAGCCAGGAGCAGCACTGGACCTTGAAGCTGCCAATGTTCTGCAGCCTCCCTCCTTGGTGCACTTGGAGTTCCTTCCTCATCTCTAATTTCTGAGTCACCAATGTTGGCTCTGCCAATGGACAGCAAAGGAAGATCCACAAGACAGTGTCCAGGAGGGCCAAGATAGGGCATAGAATCTTGGAGAACCCTTTCCCTATGGGACAAGATTGAAGGTTGAGGACCATGGGATGTGCAAGTGGCCTCTCCATGGGGCCTTTCCCACTCTTCTTCCCCGCTTTCCTCCACCCTGGGAAGATCTTGGAATCTCTCTGAGAAGAGTGCTCCAGCCCACATACCCCCAGGAGAGGCCTAGAGAATCTCAGCACAGGACCCCTCCCCAAGCACCAGCTCTTAAGAGGAGAGCTACCTCCCACAGAACACTGTCAACCTTCTCAAGGAGGGTTGCTGCTGTTCAGGGCACACAACAGTTCTAGCCTAGCATTCTGTCAGCTTTTTCTTTCCCTTTTGGGAGGTTTTATTACTTTTTACACAGGTGGGGCTCCCAGAGATGGGTTATGCCTGCAAGGAGAGACCTGGCAGGAAGAGAAATGTTTAGAAGAGCAACAATTCTACTCACATCCCAGAGAATGTGAGCTTTTATTCCCTCCATTTTCTTATCCAAAAATCTGGCTTAGTTTTGCCTTAGGGGCTCTCGTCACTGGAAAAGGATTAGCACTCATCATGGACCTGGACACACTGTCAAGAATGGCAGTGTTGGTAACTGAGGCACTGGTAGCCACTGTCACTTAGGGGGCTTTTATGGAGACATCCCCTCAGTGGCCTCTTTGGCAGCTCAAGGAGATAATCTTGGAAAAGGAAAACTCAGAGCAGAGAGATTCAGTGACATGGCCAAGGTCACAACTGGCCTAGTAGAGATCAGTCCCCTGCCTCTCCCCACAAGGGCTGCACACTACCCTCTACCCCACTGCAGCAGGGCAGGGCATTAGTGGAAGCTCTGAACAATGAAATCAAAGCCCTAGTTTTGATTAGTAGTCCTTCAACGTCTGGTAAAACATGGCACCAAGGAGGCTCAGTCTGGCAAGGGCATGAAGTGGGGCTGGAGAAGCAGGGAAGAAACTCAGGCAAGGAGTAAGCAAAGCTGCCAGGTTTGTTGTCACAGGGAGAGCCTAGACATCTTCCAGTTGGGTTCCTTAAGCTCCCTGGCAGCTGATGAATCCAGGGGACCCCAAAACAGCAGCTGGCTTTTTTTCCAAATGAAATCAGGCTTAGAGTAGGGAGGTGCTAGACAGCGATTCTAACCTCCATTTCCTGCCTGGGCCAAATCAACAGTCAGATGGGACAGTGGGAGGAGACACTACACTGGGGTTACACACCACAAAGTGATAATTCTTTTCTGTATACATGTGCACGTGCACACACACATAGACACACACACACACACACACACACACACACACAGCAGACCACAGCTCACCCTTCCTCCCTCAGTGCTGGGTGGAGGGCCTGAGCAGGAAAGCTCCCACAGAGGAGGGGATGGGAGTGCAGAGTGACCAGACTTCAGAATCTTCTCATCACACCGCACCCTCCCACCTCCAGATCCTCATCCAGATATGATCCTGTTGTGACCACCTTGTGCACACACACAGACACACATGTATACACACTCATCAAGGCTCAACATTCATGTATAGACCCACACTCTCTACACTCACACATGAACTAAAAGACAAATGTTTGTCTATAAAATCCCACATGCTAGCCACAAACGCCTGACCCTGCTCAGGACACTCACCAGCACTACTTCGTGGATTCCAGACAATATAGACGCACATACTCTTTGCACCAGGATCCCTAGGCCACCTGGTAGAGCACCCCCACCCCCACCCCAGCTGCAGGCTCTCCTACTCATCACATAAAGGAAGAGTCTGCCTCTTTAACCATGCTTCTTCCGGTTTCCTCAGAGAACCCCAGCCCTAAATGCTTCCAACATACCCCTAGGCTCAAGGTCTCTTTCAAGGTCCCTGGCATTTCAGTGCCAAAGGGCAGGGAGCAAATGGGGCCAGCACTGCAGTCCACCATATTCCTGACCCTCAGAGGCTCCTTTTGGGGCTGGGGTCTTCCCAGGAAGACTGAACCCATGATTTCTCCAGAAGCAGGGGAGGAAAAGCTGTATATGGGTTGGAAGGGTGGATTATAGGGAGAGCAGCTTTCTCCACTTCCTGAGAAAGCATTTGGGAACAGGCATCCCTCCCAGGAACCAGTTCTACACCATTCTTCTAAGACTCCTCGGCCTGGCCACCTGGTCAGGTCTGGTTCATGCTTCCCACTAGAATAGGGCAGACTGCCGCAGAGCCTCCAACACTGCGGTGACCTCGACCCCATGACCGGGTCAGGCCAGGGCTGCATCGGTACAGGTGTGGCGCGCAAGAGTCTGAGAAGCCGCAGCTCGAGATTGCTACTGGGCAGCGACAGCGAGCTGCCAGTGCGGCGCGAAGAGGGTGGGCCCGGGTGATCCAACTCGACGTTCAGGGCTGAGGCGCCTGTTTCTCTGCCTTCTAGTCCCAGCGGCCCAAAGCCAGCGCCTAGACCCAGAAAAAGGCTGAAGCTGAGACTGGAAACGAAGACGGAGCTGATACGGAACAGGCACTGGGACCGGGGCAAGACCCCAGGCTCGAAATGCAACACTCCAGCAACCACGGCAGGAACTGAGGCGGAGCCGAAGACCAAGACTGGGGATTAGGATGAGCACCTGTACGTGGGCTAGGATCTGAGACGGATGCCTGCCACGCTGGGATTTTAGGGCCAGAGCAGATCGGAACCCAGGACAGAGCCCAGGTTAGAGCCTGAGCAAGGAGAGTCCGGGTTCAGCTTATGATCCCTCCAGGGACACGATTGCAGTCTGAGTAGGGCTGCAGCCAGAGCTGGAGAGCACTGGAGATGCAGCCAGATGACGCCTGGAATCCGGGCGGGGCTGGCCAGAGTCCGGGAGGTCAGAACTCGACCAAGGGGCGCGAGGTTGGAACTGGAGCCTGAGACTCAGGCAACGCCGAGACAGAGCCAGAGACGCGACCAAAACCCAGCGGGCTGCGGGAACCAGAGGCAGATCGCCCGCCGAGCAGCGCGGCCTGGAGCCTTGGGTTCCGGACGCTGAGAGCCGGCGGGCTGGGCTGGTACCGCTCAACAGGAGTGCACTCAAGACTCCAGGGCTCAGGACACTGAGACCAGACGCAGTACAAGTGGCCTGGGTGTGCGCTGGGGACTGCCTGCCGCAGCACTGCTGGCCCAGCGGCCACAGCCTACCTGAAGTAGTCCATCTTGCAGAAGATTTCCTTGTTCTTGATGTAGCAGCTGTTCTGCTGCCTCAGTGATGTCCGACACACGGAGCACTCAAGGCATCGCACATGCCAGATGAGGTTGTTGACCTGGAGAGGGGATAGAGATGGGGGTCGGCTTAGCACCCCCTAGCCTCCCCAGCCTCATTTGCAGACTGAAACGCTGAAGTCCAGAAGGTGCATGTGACTCCCTTATTTTCCTTCTGTAATACTGAGGTTCAGGAAGTGGATATGTACACTTCCCATTTTTTTCAGACGGAAGCCTGGGCGCAGAGAGACACTAAGGCTTGCCCAAAGCCACGAAGTTGGGCAGCTGCTAAGCCAATGTTTGGAATTACACGAACCTGGCACTGGCCTTGCTTCCCTAAGGTCCCCTGGGCTACAACAAACACCTGCCAACACCTACCCTGACTCACCTTGAGCAGATACCGGTCCAGGATCTCAAGGCCACAACTGGAGCAGATGTTCTTGCCGGCAGACGGCACGGAGGAGGCAGCAGAAGGTGGTGAGCACACAGATGGTGTGCTAGGCGTACATGGGGAGGCCCGGCCCTCATCCTTGTCCAGAGAGCCTGCCAGGGCCTCGGCGTCCGACTGTGCCTGCAGCGGGGAAGAAAGACAGCAGAGCACTGAGCCAGGGCCCACAGCTGCCCCGAGCACCCAAGTGACAACGAAATCTGTCTGGGATATCGCGCCGTAGGCTGGAGGACAGGAATGGAAGGGCCTATTGGAGAGAAAGGGACAGCCCCAACTCTTAACACGGGCGTCTGGAGTGCGGGGAGCGGTCAAAGCCCACATTTCTGGCCGGAAAACCGAGGCTCAGAGAGAGGCGGCGTCCATACTGTGTCCCCCACCTCACCGATAAGCGGTTCGCGGCCAGAAAACCGAGCCAGGTGCCCAGGGCTGGGCTGTTGGGGGACCAAGGGCCGAAGGCACAGCCGAACGGACTCACCATGGTGGGCGGCGCGGTCCCTTCGAGACAGCGGGTGGTCGCTTTGCAGCCGGACCCTGGCTGGGCCATCACCTGGGGGAGGTGGGGTGGGGAATGCAGGCGGCGGCGGCTGCAGAACTGGCTCCGCGCAGCCTGAGCCCAGCGCCTCCCCGCGCCTGTTATATAAACCGGCGCCGAACAATGAGTCCTAACTTTGTAGTGGGCATTTAAAGCCCTTCCCCACAAAAGCGGTGTCTCTCTAATGAAGCAATTTGAATTTGGATTGGATTTTTTCCCTCTCTCTCCCCCTCTCCCTGCACTTAACCCATGGCTCTTGAAGTAATCGCTTAGTTCCCTTGCAATCCAAGCCTCTGAGGGGGGAAAAAAAACACGCGCACACACACAAACTACCTGCAATTAGAAATTGTCGTGAATGCCCAAGATAAGAGGTAGCCAGAGTGTCAATTCCAACTGTCAATCAGTGAGATCCATCAGGCCGCCCAAAGAATTGCAAATTTGATTTTTTAATGGTAGTAATTAAAAATCGAATTTTTTCTCTCTCCACCCACCCCCCCTTCCTCGCTTCCTTCTCCTCCTCTCGGCACAAAATGCAAAAAAGAGTAAAGAGAGAAAGAAAGAAAATTAAAAGGAGATGGGGGTGGTAGTGGTGGTGGTGGTGGTGGTGGTGGTGGTGGTGGTGGTGGTTGAGAAAAATAAAACCCGGAGCGCGGGGAGCTTCGGCCCGCCCGCCCGACTCGTGCCGCGAAATTGAAGCGGCGGTAGTGACACGGATTCAGGCGCCTTTGGAGGGTCAGTCCGAGGGAAACCCAGAGCCAAAGGGATCGAGATCGGGGAGCGGGGGAGCGGACCAAAAAGAGAAAAGAGAGGCCTCCAAGAGGAGGCAAAAGCACCCTCCAGCCCCTCGGCGCGCTCAGGACCGGCCCCGCGTCGGGATTCTCAGCGTTGCGCCCGCACAAGCCCCGGCGCATCGGTGCTATCAGCGCCTATTCAGACGGACAATACCCGCCTCGCCTCCTCTTGATTCGCCTGTGTCTTTGCTAAATCGCTTTTTGAGAAATTCCTCCAACATTTGCATAATGTGTTCCCGCTTTCCTCGACGCCCCCCCCCCCTTGCTCGCGCGCGCTCACACACTCACAGACACACTCTCGGGCGCACCCCGCACCCCTCCTCCCTGCCGCCGCCCGCCACCCAGCCCGGCCTGGCTGGGTCGCGGCCCCTGGCCCCGGTCGCTAGCCCGCTCGCCCGCTCCCTCGCTCACCTGGTCGGTGGCCGGGCCGCCTTCGGCCGGCAGCCGGCAGCCCTCGGGCAGCGCCGGGGCGGCGTTCTCATGCTTCCAGTACATGGGCCCTGGAGCGGCGGGCTGGGCGGGCGCGCAGCGCGGAGAGCCTCGCGGAGGGGGGCCCCGGCCGCAGCCGGAGCAGAGGCTGCAGCAGGAGCAGGAGCAGAGCGGAGGCGGCTGCCCCGCAGCCCCGGGCCCGGCCCCAGCCCCCGCCCCCGGCCCGCGCGCAGCCCCGGCCTCCCAGGCTGCCGGCGCCGCTGCCTCGGAAGAAGGTCCCGACAAACTTGGAGAGGGCCCTGTCCCCTCCTTCTCCTCCTCCTCCTCCTCCTCCTCCTCCTCCTCCTCGCCCCCGGCCCGCGCGGGTCCCCAGTGCCCCGTCCGGGTCGTGCGGCCAAGGGGCGAGGAGGACATCGGGGCCTGGGAGCCGCCCGGACGCTGC